GCTCGTTGTGGCATTCCCAGTAGAACACTCACATTCGTCAGGTAGCACCGAGAATGAGTTGGAAGTTTCCACGGCAGTCTTCTGGTTTCTCGTTGTTTCTGCCTCTCCAACCGTTTTCTTAATCTTCAGCTTGGTTCCATGTTGCCCGACCACTGACCAAGCTCCCCTCTTAACCTGGGGACTCACAACAGGAGGATTACTACGAATCCTCTTGTTCTCCTCCGTTAATCGCCGTATCTCCAGTTTAGTAGGAGGTAATTAGTCCACAGTTTGAGGAGCGTGACAGAAAACTTTACATAGATCTTGACTTTGAAACATAGCGAGGGATTGTGTTCATATTGGTAGAATTATCGGCAATATGTTAAGTAAAAGGACACAAATGCAACTAATGTGACATTTCACTGTGGCAACGTTTCGCTCTCCAGGAGTTTTGTCAAGCGTAACTTCTTGACAAAGCTCCTAGAGAGCGAAACGTTGCCACAATAAAATGCCATATTAGTTGATTTGTGCCCCTTTTACTTAACATAGAGAGGAATGATCACATCTCATAGTCTGTAAATTCAACTATAGAGAAAGTGCACGATAATAACAATGGGTGACGACTCTATCAACAGGAGCATAAGAGGTGCACGTAAACAGTCTAGTGTTAGCAGCCTATGCAAGATTAACAACTGTAAGAAGTACTACGAACGTTTGAATAGAATTATTCAATACACTGTCCATAACTAACGTACATTAGTCTAACCCTCGAGTATGCTTCTGACCTGTGTCAGGACCACGTCAGAGACGAGGTCCTGACAGTACCTGTGTCAGTACTACGTCAGAGACGAGATCCTGACACAGGTCTTTTCCGAATGGTGACCCGTCACTGGCTTTCCATTGACTGTCGGAGTTCATGCAGCCCCGTGGCGTGGCCAGCCTCATAACTGGGACGGGTAGCAGGCCCTCCGAGCCCGCTAGAAAATGCACAATCAAATAATCACAATTTAAGCGTCTTGAATATTCACCTGTTTAACTGCCTCAGCAAGGGTGAATAACTGATTGTTAATAGGGCGGCTAAACGGTGCAAATTTGTAAAATCGTTAATGTGCTTGAAATTGTTATATTCTGTGTGATAATTGGTGAATGTTTTTTCTGGTCGGCTTTAAGATGATTTATTTTTTTAGTGAGCTCTAAAACCTCCAATTTGATAATTTAATTAACGTAATTTTCTGTATTTACTTAAATTCACAATTACAGAAATAGGATGTCAAACCCACACCTTGTAAATTTTTTGCGCAACTCGTTGTAGAGTTTCAGGAGACGATAAATTTAATCTAAAACCCACAACAATTAAAAACTTGAATTAACATTTTGCAGCTATATAATTTTCTGTCCTCTCACAGGAGAATAACTTGTATGAATTTAATTAAAATCAGGCTACAAGCGAGGATGTAAACGAGAAAATAACTTCCCTGACAGAGTCCCAGGGACAATCTGAGCACAGGTTTTTACACGCAGCAAAACTTGACGTGAATTCACCACCAAGTATCGCTAAATGGCTTCCTAAAATAGTACCTTCATTTGATTGCCTTGATTTGTTTTCCTCATACAAGATTTTCAGCTATAATTTGGTAACTTTTCATCTATAAGACATCAGCTACAAATTTTTCATCGCTCGGTTACCTATGGTCAGTATTATGTTGATCATTTCTGCTTATGATTTTACTGGAGTAACTTGAGATAGCGTCTAGTTAGTATTCAAACTTCCATACTAGTAAATCTTTCTAAAAAGAAGGTTGAGAATATTAGAAAAGGTATGTGACATTTTCATTTATTTATTTTTTTTTCAACTGGGTAAATAGGTTTTGTGAAATGGCTTAATATATCTGAATGGGTTCAGTCTTAATAGCTGACACATCTTATGGGTAATATGCTAAGCAAAAAATTTAGACTCTGAAAATAAAAATTCACTAATTTCCTAAGATTCAGGCTTGGTAATAGAGTTGTGGATGAGTAGAACAAACTCCCGAGTACCGCCATAGAAGCTAAAACGTTGCGTAGTTTTAAAAATAGGTTGGATAAACACATGAGTGGGTGAGGGTGGGTGTGAGTTGGACCTTGCTAGCTTGTGCTAATAGGTCTGATGCCGTGCTCCTTCCTTAAAGTGGAAGTGACCTGGCCTGGCTAGGTTGAGTTATTGGCGCCGGTTGGAGACTTGGACTTGCCTCGCATGGGCCAGTAGGCCTGCTGCAGTGTTCCTTCTCTCGTATGTTTCGTATGCTCAGTTGGTAGCGGACTCAACTCACACACTAAGGTCCGTGTTTCGATCACCGGTACGGTTGGAAATATTTGGGCGTGTTTTCTTAAGGCATCTGCTGTCCCACTTCACCGCTAAGTAAACAGGTACCTAGTTGACATCAAAGACATACTATTATATAGAGAACCTTTGCTTATGAAGAGCATTTCGGAAAACTTAGGTTAATTTTGTTCTCCAGGATGCAACCCACACCAGTCGGCTAACACCCAGGTACCTACTTACTGCTACTTACTGTTAAGAGGCCGAGAGCTTGAACATTACTCCTAAAGCACGAGTATTATTACATTTTTATGAAGCTCTAAACCCTGTGGATCAATCAGCAAAAGGACTGGTTGAAACTCTTTGAAGAAAAGGGCTCTTCATCCAAGGAATTAGAGCAACTGTTTCTTTCTTTGGATCAAACCTGATGACTTGTCCACACGAATATAAAAATAAAATTTTGGTAGCCAACCTGGGCAGTGACAGTACCTGCAGGTGGGTGACAGTACCTGCAGGCAGGTGACAGTACCTGCAGGTGGGTGACAGTACCTGCAGGTGGGTGACAGTACCTGCAGGTGGGTGACAGTACCTGCAGGCAGGTGACAGTACCTGCAGGTGGGTGACAGTACCTCCAGGTGGGTGACAGTACCTGCAGGTGGGTGACAGTACCTGCAGGTGGGTGACAGTACCTGCAGGTGGGTGACAGTACCTGCAGGTGGGTGACAGTACCTGCAGGTGGGTGACAGTACCTGCAGGTGGGTGACAATACCTGCAGGTGGGTGACAGCACCTGCAGGTGGGTGACAGTACCTGCAGGTGGGTGACAGTACCTGCAGGTGGGTGACAGTACCTGCAGGTGGGTGACAGCACCTGCAGGTGGGTGACAGCACCTGCAGGTGGGTGACAGCACCTGCAGGCGGGTGACAGTACCTGCAGGTGGGTGACAGTACCTGCATGTGGGTGACAGTACCTGCAGGTGGGTGACAGTACCTGCAGGTGGGTGACACTACCTGCAGGTGGATGACAGTACCTGCAGGTGGGTGACAGTACCTGCAGGTGGGTGACAGTACCTGCAGGTGGGTGACAGTACCTGCAGGTGGGTGACAGTACCTGCAGATGGGTGACAGTACCTGCAGGTGGGTGACAGCACCTGCAGGTGGGTGACAGTACCTGCAGGTGGGTGACAGTACCTGCAGGTGGGTGACAGTACCTACAGGTGGGTGACAGTACCTACAGGTGGGTGACAGTACCTACAGGTGGGTGACTACCTACAGGTGGGTGACAGTACCTACAGGTGGGTGACAGTACCTGCATGTGGGCGACAGTACCTACAGGTGGGTGACAGTACCTGCAGGTGGGTGACACTACCTACAGGTGGGTGATAGTACCTGCAGGTGGGTGACAGTACCTGCAGGTGGGTGACAGTACCTGCAGGTGGGTGACAGTACCTGCAGGTGGGTGACAGTACTTACAGGTGGGTGATAGTACCTGCAGGAGGTGAGAGTACCTGTAGGTGGGGGTCACAGTACCTGCAGATGGGTGACAGTACATGTAGCAGGGTGACAGTACCTCCAGGTGGGTGACAGTTACCTGGAGTTTACCTGAGAGAGTTTCGGGGGTCAACGCCCCCGCGGTTCGGTCTGAGACCAGGCCTCATGGTGGATCATGGTCTGATCAACCAGGCTGTTACTGCTGGCCGCACGGTTGGTCAAGTACTGACTTTATGTGTTTGTCTAGTGCCTTCATAAAGACAGCCAGGGGGTGACAGTACCTCCAGGTGGGTGACAGTACCTGTAGGTGGCTGGCATAGTACTTGCAGGTGGCTGGCACAGTACCTGCAGGTGGGTGACAGTACCTCCAGGTGGGTGACAGTACCTCCAGGTGGGTGACAGTACCTGCAGGTGGCTGGCATTGTACCTGCAGGTGGCTGGCACAGTACCTGCAGGTGGGTGACAGTACCTACAGGTGGTTGACAGTACCTGCAGGTGAGTGACAGTACCTGCAGGTGAGTGACAGTACCTGCAGGTGAGTGACAGTACCTACAGGTGGGTGACAGTACCTCCAGGTGGGTGACAGTACCTCCAGAAGGGTGACAGTACCTGCAGGTGGCTGGCACAGTACCTGCAGGTGGGTGACAGTACCTGCAGGTGGGTGACAGTACCTCCATGTGGGTGACAATACCTCTAGGTGAGTGCCAGTACCTCTAGGTGAGTGCCAGTACCTCCAGGTGGGTGACAATACCTCCAGGTGTGTGACAGTACCTGCAGGTGGCTGGCACAGTACCTGCAGGTGGCTGGCACAGTACCTGCAGGTGGTTGGCACAGTACCTGCAGGTGGGTGACAGTACCTTCTGATGGGTGACAGTACCCCCAGGTGGCTGGCACAGTACCTGCAGGTGGCTGGCACAGTACCTGCAGATGGGTGACAGTACCTGCAGGTGGGTGACAGTACCTGTAGGTGGTTGATAGTACCTGCAGGTGGGTGACAGTACCTGCAGGTGCATGACAGTACCTGCAGGTGGGTGACAGTACCTCCAGGTGGGTGACAGTACCTGCAAGTGGTTGACAGTACCTCCAGGTGGATGACACAGTACATGCAGGTGGGCGAGACAGTACCAGCAAGTGGGTGAGAAAGTACCTGGAGGTGGGTAAGAGTACCTACAGACGGGGGAGACAGTACCAACAGGTGGGCGAGACAGCACCTGGAGGGGTACATCATCTTACCTGTAAGCCAGATTTATGGGCAGCAGAATCTTCATCAACGCCGGTGATGAAGATACCCAGGCCGTACTCCACTCCTCCTCGGATCATCAATCCCAGCGACTCCGACCCCACCACCTCCACCTCCACCTGTGTAACCACACAAGGATTAGGTTTCATGTTAATTTAACCACACATACACATACACATGAGAGAGAAAAGGAGAAAACTAACAGAATAATTACAATAATAATAATAATAATAATAATAATAATAATAATAATAATAATAATAATCTTTATTTCTACAAGTATGTTGCGTCCTCTGATTGGACCCAAGGTTAATAATTAATATTGTGTGCACATATTTTGCTATTCACTTAATACTATATTACCGATGGCATTATTATTAGCTAAAATAATGTCTATTGTGCTTTAGAGTATTATCTGCCCTTATATTGTTAGCTATGTTGATAGGATGTTTATTTTAAGTGATAGGCGCTACACTGAGTAGCAACCTGGTTCACTGTCGTTAGGTTGTTAGTCTCTGGCGGTCCCTCGCACCGTTAATGTCACGAGGTATTGTAAGGCTTGGAGGAGTAGTCTCAAGTCAGTCCGGGTTTGCATAACCAAGGGAGCATACCTCACTCAGTTATTCATTGACCTCTCATAAGAGACGTGTCAAGTTCTCTCTTGTGGTCGTTTTCATTTCATACTCGACTCCCTTTCTTCAGCTTGTCTCTTTCGAGTTATTTATACTCTAGCGAATTAATCTTCGTTGACTAAGCAAGCCTTGTTGGCCTTGTGGGTTAATTTGTGGTATTCTAAGTCATGCTGGATGGGAATGAGACTAAGTCCGTCACTTAGGAGTTCTGGTATACTCTGAATTGATAGTTCAGCTAAGTCTTTATAACCATTTTAAGTTACTTTGTGGATAAGTCTTAATAACCATTATAGGTGCATATTATTGGTGAAGTTAGTACAAAGCTCGACCTCAAGAGGTTCATTTATTCATATCAATGTACTGGTACGTACCAAGAGGAAATGTAAGAGTTAATCCTAACATAAAAAGGAGTTTAACATTGTATCATATATTAAGCTAAAACTCTACTAGTAAAGATTCTAAGTTTTAGATTTGTCTCGTAATCCTGAATTCTTATTAAAAGTTATTGTTACAAAACCGTAAATAGGCTATCTGCTTAACAAGAATATACTACCTTAACACTCACCCATACCATTGGAGAAGGTTAAGAAGAAGAGTTTTGTAACAAGTATATAACACAATTTATGCCGACCATAGCTGTTATGATATACAAAATAGAAAGCCCCTGGTTATGCAGAGCATTTCGGGCAAATTAGGTTAATTTTGTCCACGAGGATGTGACCCACACCAGTTGACTAACACTCGAGTACCTATTACTGCTAAGTGAACAGGGACAGCAGGTGTAAGGTGACTACACACAGGTACCTACTTACTGCTAGGTCAACAGGGAAAACAGGTGATTCAGTTTCCTCCATACAAAAGTTTATTTGTTCATTTTTTAAGTAAATTTGCCTTTTGTCTAGCGACTTCATTGTGTGAGATTTTCCTTTCAGTTTGAAATAAATAAGATTTACTTTAAATACGACATTGTTAATAAACAAATCTGCTTTGACCTGGTGAAGTCAGGCGTGAGACCTCGAGCATAAGTCCATAATATTTCGCCTTACATTTATTTCATTCAGTTTGCTTGTAAAAAGAAATGAATTAATGAAAACAACAATTTAAAATTTATGGAACACTAAGAAATACGTAGGATGTATTATGCAGAAGTTAGGCTCCACCTTTTGACATTGTAAACAGAAACGATTGAGTCTACGGGGTTGAAACCATTTCCGTTTCTTGCTGGAATTTCCAAGTTTGACCCTGCAGCGCTTCACAAATAATACATAGCGAAATACTATAGGAAATAAAAGCTATATATGAGAAATTCTAGAAGTGATAAAAGACTGTACTGAAATTATGTATCAAGAAACATTCAATCGATCAATTACATAATTTATAGAACTGCCACAACGGGCACCAGCCGTGGTGTGAAGTCAGAGCTGGTGTTCAGCAGACACAGGACGCTTTCATTGCGACAATGTTCTGACTTGACAAAGCTCTACTTAGTGATACTGTGCCAGATTAAAAGCTTATCCACTACCTGTGTCTTTTATTTTCATCGCTTTGTTAAACAAAAGAACATTATAGTTTGGCTGAAAACTTAGACCTCAGTAAAAATTAATAGGAATCGCTCCAAAATAGGTGTAGTTGATCCATGCTTTAAAATACACAGACGTGCACACTCCGCCTGCTGGTAAATTAAAGAGCGTGCAATAAGTGACGCCAGGGGAAGTACGCTTAATTGGAATACAGTGGAAAGGGGAGAAAATTTGAGATAAATCCTATATTAGAGAAACAATCCCCTCAAGGAAGGTTCCTTGGTGTTGGTGAGGGGCTCTTGATTTAGGGAATTGGATCTGTGCTCCAGTTCCCCGAATTAATTCTGAATGCCTTCCACATCCCCCCCCCCCCAGGCGCTGTATAATCCTCCGGGTTTAGCGCTTCCCCCTTGATTATAATAATAGAGAAACAAAGGAACGTGTGAGAGAACTGACGAGGTTTGAATATATGTATATGTATGGGCTGGGTGGTTAATAATTATTTTTACAAAAAATGGATACACGAGCAGTGTTGCTACCATATTCTATATGATAATTACACAACGGGAGCAAAAGCTACCTATGCTTCCATAACATATTCCATCAGCAGGGTATTTATTATTATTATTATTATTATTATTATTATTATCAAAAAGGTCTAAACCGCAAGGATTACACAGTGCAGCAGGGCAGGGGAGGATGCAGGGGAAATGGATGGCAAGACGGAGAGGGATGATTATTAGGTTATGGAGTGCAGCGGGGCAGTGCAGGGGTAGAGGGTAGCAAGAAATTGAGGTAGGAAGGACTGAGGAGAGTGCTAGAGGCATCATCATCAGAATTTGTGTAGTAAATCAGTTGCTGTCAAAAAGTCAATGAGAAAGTCTGGGTGAAAAGAGGGTCCATCAGCAAGAAGGGAAGGTAAAGAAAGGGCACAGAAGTGGAGACGACGTTGGAGGTAAATTCTGCGTGCTCGTTGATAGAGTGGGCAGTCAAACAGAATGTCGCTAACAGATACTGGAACTTGACAATTCTCAGAGAGGAACAGGGCGCCTCTCCATGAGATACCCATGAGTAAGTTGAGTGTGGCCAATGAGAAGACGGGAGAGAGTAGTCTCCCAACCTCGACATTGATGATATGAAGATGGCCAGAAACCTATACTCGGTTTAATAGAATGAAGATTGTTATTGAGCAGATCAGACCAACGTTGTTGCCAACGGGTACAAAGGTGGGTAGAAATCACAGCAAAATAGTCTGTGAATGGAACACCTCTATATGAAACTGGGAGGCCATGTACTGCTGACTGCGTAGCAGTGTCTGCCTGTTCATTGCCCTGTACGTCAACATGACCAAGGACTCAGCAAAAAAACAATATCTTTGTGTTTGCTAGAGATACATCATAACCAAAGTTGGATACGAAGAACTAGGGGATGAGGTGTATCAAATTTTCTTGTAGCCTGTAAAGCACTAAGGGAGTCTGAAACGACCACAAATGGTGCACAGGCATAGATGCTATACGGAAAAGTGCTACAAGAATGGCATTTTGCTAGCCAAGGATAAATGTCCTCGCACGACACTGTCCGGAAACACTGCTGTGAATCCGGCGCCGTCAGAAGACTTAGGACCATTGGTGTTCACTTCGATGGCATGAGAATGAGAGCAGAAGTGGTCAAGAAAAAGAGAGCTGGAAGCCACCGGAGATAGTTGGGCTTTTGCGCATGGCAGTGGGAAAGAACAGACACGAACAGTTGGAACTTCCTTAGGGGGCAGGGAAAAGTGAGATGCTACATGAACATAGAAAGTGGTAACTGAAGAGAAGACAAGAGAGAATGGAGGAGAGAAAAGGGGCGGAGTAAGCAGGGGCGACGAACAAATAAAGAACGTTTGCTAACATCAGTGACTATCCTATATATGGAAGGATTGCGGAGGTCATGAGATCGAACATAATAGCGAAGGCAATGAGCATCACGGCGATCAGACAAAGATGGAATATTCGCTTCTGCATAGAGGCTCTCAACAGGGGAAGAACGAAAGGCACCAAGGGACAGACGGAGACCTTGGTGACGAATGGGATCTAACTTAGACAGAGTTGCGGGAGAGGCCGCAGAATAGATTTGGTGGCCATAATCCTGCTTGGACAAGACTAGAGTGGATTGCAAACGGAGGAGAGTGCTACGATTTGCTCCCCATGAACGATGTGCGAGATTTAGCCGACCATGGCAAGTTATCTTTAAAGAAGAAATGTGTGGTCTCCACGTCAGCCGGCGATCAAAGAGCAGGCCAAGAAACTTAACCGTATCACATGCTGGAATACGTGAACCGTGTAAGTACAAGGGAGTATCCGGAATAAGAGGACGTCTAGTGAAGGTAATGAACCGAGTTTTCATACTAGAAAATTTAAGGCCGTGAGAAGTGGTCCAATGGGAGACTCGGTCTATCACAACCTGAAGGGAGGCTGCTACTAGTCGGCAGTCAGCGCCCGAATAAGCTATAGCGAAGTCATCAACATAAAGTGACGACCAAATATGCAAAGGAAGAACGGAAGATAGGTAATTTAGAGCTAAGGGAAAAAGAGTAGTGTAAGCTAGGCATCAATACGGACCCGAAAATGTCTATCGGAAAAGAGAGCAGCGATGAAGTTTGGTAGATTACCGCAGAGGCCTAAGGAGTGGGCTTGGGCTAGGATGTTATACCTCCAAGGGGTGTCATATGCCTTCTCTAAATCAAAAAAGACTGCTAGGACAGAGTGGTTGTTAGCATAGGCATTTCGAATATACGTATCTAAGTGGAGCAAGGAGTCTACGGTAGAGCGACCTTAGCAAAAACCATATTGGTAAGGGAAAAGGCTATTGTGTCTCTAAGAACCACATCAGACGTCTATTCACCAATCGTTCCATCACCTTGCAGACCACACTGGTCAGGGCAATGGGACGATAGTGAGAAGTGTCAAGTCCCGAGGCGCCTGGTTT